GCGTGGGGGGCTCGGCAGCGGGAGAGCCCGGGCTCATTCCTGCCAACAGGGGAGGAAAAGCAGAGACATTTCAGTGCCTTTGAAAGGAAGGGGGTCAACTTTTTTTTTGGACGTTGAAAATGTACCGTGATAAAAGGATCATCCCCCGCTCGGTGCTTTTTATTCTTTGCCTCGAGGATTAAGACAATTCCCATTGTTTATCTTCTCACATCAGAAACAAAGGCTGCTGGAGGCAATAGAGTTAGAAGGATCCCAGGAGCTATCAGATATTCGAGGAATGAGCGTGCCTCGGAGGTCCTCCCAAAGCCTGGCACCCGTGGGCTCGCTCTGCCTCGTCACAGAGCCCGTGCCCAGCACTCGGGGGCCACATCCAGCCTCGCCGGGTGCGTGTTCCTGCACAGAGGGGTGTGCGCTGGGTGGCAGCGTGGTGAAGTTTGCTTTCCCAGAAACCTGCTGGATTAGTGATTAAGCTCCGTTGTGACTTCTTTTTTTTTTTTTCAAACTTTCCCCCTAAAGCTTCTTCCAACCTGCCCGGACTCGCACTCCCCCAGCACTTCGCGGAGTCGCTGCTTGCAACGCGTGAGCTGGAGGTTTGCTGTGAGCCTGGCTCTGTGGGGAAGGGCTCGTTTTGGCCACGCAAAGGGTGTTCTCTGAGCCACCCCATCCCTGTAAAAGGGAGACAGAGGGGGTATCTCTCAGAGGGATGGCTCTGCGACAGCGACCGCTGAGCTGGAAAGGACTTTGCCAAATCCTTTCATTAAAGAGACCAAGCTGCTTTCTCTCTGGTTAGGAAGCACACCTCAGGTGTGTTTTCTTGGTGCCTTAAGTTTTGGGAGTTGTTGCTTGGCTTGCTGCCTATCCAGAAAACCTCTGTGCTCCGAATCTGAAGAGATGCTCTGTTCCCCCTTCTCGGGAGAGCCTCAGGTGTGCTCTTCCTCCTGCCTTAGGAGGCTCAGAGAGTTTTAAAGCTTTTCCTTCTGCCTTGTGTGGTACAGAATTGTAAAGTTAAATGAAGCACTGTCATCGGAGCCTTCTCCATCTAGCTGGCTGCGTGCAGGAAGGTCCTTCTGGCTTCTGCTCTATCTCTGGGGGAGTCCAGGGAACAGGCTTTACACAGGGGAAGTGGCCGAGCTGCTCTCAAAGCAACTCACATTTCACAGCCTCAGTTCAGCTCTTGAAGCCACACGTGCAGTGATGTGGTTGAATCTGGAAGCGTGTCCTCTCAGTGGTCCAAGCCCATCCCAGTGCTGGGGGTGGGCTGTAGAGGATTTCGGCCAAAGAAGCACATCTCTGATGCCAGGATGGGAGTGCCAAGCTCCTGTTTCAGCGGGAGGCCACGAAGTTAGTTATTCATTTGTTTATCTATTTTGGAGGGAGAGAAGTCCACCTGAAGAGGTGAACTAGAGAGCGTGCAAAGCAGGATGTGGGTGTAAACATCCACCAACTGCACGTGGCTGCACGTGGGGCTGCTGTGATTTGTAGCATTTGCATGGTTTGAGTGAGCAGAGTCCATCCCATGCCTGGAAAGCATCGACTACAACAGGGCAGGGGTCCCTTACGGGTGAGACCCCCAGTCACCAGGCTATCTGGGAATCCTTACAGCCTCTCTCCATTCCCTTGCAGCTGAAACTGGCTTTGGAGGAGGCTCTCCACATGTACGCTGGAGGGTCTGAGATGCGGTTATGCCGCTGCAGAGCAGGGTGTGCCACCAGCAGCTCCGGCTACCCCATATTTACAGGGGTTTAAAACTTCCGTCTGGGCTCCAGGCTTGGCTTAAAGGGCCAGGAGCACAGATGGGCTTTTAAACCCTTAAAAAAAAAATTGAATTTGAGCACTCTGGGAAAGCTTGAAGACCTTGCAAGTGCCTGACCAAGCCTGGCTAAGCAGCTACTCTCTAATAGTAACCACTTTCGAGGGTGGAAGAGGGAGGGATGAAAGGAATTTGGGTTCCTCTGCCCCTGCTTTCATCTAGACATCACAAGGTGCTTTGCAAACATGCACCCCGATTCCCCGTGCTCACCCCTGCCAGCTCTGCAGTGGGGGTTCTGCAAGAGCAGCCTGAGCGCCCGTTTTGTGCCCGCCTGGGTCACTGTGGGGCGTGGGGGCTTTGGGAGGAAGCACATCTGGCTCCTACACCTGCCTCCCTCTGCTTTTACACCAGCCCTGCCTTGTTTTTAAGCTGAGTCTCCCCAGCTTTGGTAGCAGGGAGGGCTCACTTCGCCTTGAGCGTGGCGTGGTTGAATTTTTGTACAGAATTCTTTGCATTGTGGCGGGGACCCTCCCATTTTCCCTGAAAAAGGGCAGATGCCGTGCCGCCGCCGCGCCGATTCGGCAGGTGCAGCTCGCTGCGGGGCAGAGCTGCTCCCCCCAGCCCTGCTCCCCTCCCCACACCCTGGGGTTTGATGCCAGGAGAGCAGCAGGGAAGTTCCCCAGGTCGTATCTGCGCTGGCAGCCGGGCGGGTGGCTCGCACTGATGGGTTCCATCAGGATTTCCTTGCTCTGAGGGCTGCGGTGGGTGAGACCAGCAGCTCTGGGGTGCCCAGGGCTCTTCTGCGTTGCTCTAGGGGTCCAGCCAGGTCTGTGGGGTTGGTGGTGCAGGCAACCAGTGGCCGAGGGTGCAGGCAGAGTGAAACCAGCAGCCTCCATTGGAAAGATTTATTAATTAGTGTTTATTTATTTATGAGCCTTGCCACTTTTGACAAAAGCAGCTCATTTTAGCTCAGCGATGGAAGCAGACTGGCTAGAAGGGCCACATCCCACAGAGGCAAGGGGACTCTGCCAGTCTTGGCACTGGACTTCCAACCAGTTCAGCTTGTCCTGGTGCTGGTCCTGACTGGCAGGAGGACGTCAGGGCTGTGTTTGCCAGGGTGCAGGAGGGACACGTGCTCCCTGGCTCCTCAGCCGTCATGGGCTTCTCGGTCTTTTCCTAAGTAAGGAATTTCCTTAAATTTCCTTAAAGAAAACTACACCCCAACCTTTAGCACCATTCTAGGGAGGATGGCCATGAGTGAGATAAAACCACTCTGCACCCCAGATTATGCAGAACTGGGTCAGCTCCAAATGTGAGCAACAGCGAGGAGCAGACTCAGTCTTTGCCATGGTTTTCTGTCACTCCATGAGTCAGAGCAGGACTTTTGCATTGATGCAAAAAAATGTTTGTGTTACTCGGCTGAGAGGCACCATCCTCTCCATTAATTCATCCTTGTGGGTGGAGAGAAATGCATTACATCCATTTGCTTGGGCTTTCTTAATATGATAGAATTGCTGAGTAATCCTGGAGGTCAACAGTTTCCAGGAGACTCTTCCATATTTCCTTACAGATGCAACAATGGTGGCTCTTACAACACCTGGAGGTTTTTTTTTCCCAAAAGCTCGAAAGCCTTGTGAATCCACAAAAATCTCAGTCATCCAAGGCTGCTCAAATGGCAGACTCTGCTCTGGAGACACCTTTGTTGACTCCTGCCCCATGCCTGTGGGCAACCCCCCTCCCTCCCCAGCAGCATCCTCCAGGCTCTCCAGGAGCTGCTGCCACGGGCTGCAGCTGGGGCGGTGGTGTGCAGGATCTGGCTGGCTCAGCAGAGCTGGAGCCAGGGTTGTGCTTTCATGAAATTACTTGGGGAAAAAATTAATTGAGTACCTTGGCTGATAGAGAGCAACCTGGGGTCTGTTGCTAGTCGGGCGAGATCAAACTAATCCTGCAGAAGGCTTCTCTTGCCACATATTTGCAAATTCTGATCAAAACTAAAAACTCATCAGATTTTCTCCAGCCAGGTCTAGCCTGAAGCGCTGCACGAGGGGAATTCCCACAGAGCTCAGCCCAGCAGCCCACACCTGCCTTCTCTTGCAACAAGGCTCTGCTGTTGTACTCGAGCCCAGGAGAAGCTTCTGACTGACTTATAAAGGAAGACGCAGTAAAGGATATTTTCCACACATCCAAAGCAGATTGCCAAAATGGATGCTGCTCTCAGCCTCCTTTCTGATCTTCCCAGCCTCCTTTCTGATCTTCCCAGCCTTCATTCTGATCTTCCCAGCTTCCACGCTGGTCTTCCCCACCACAAAGTGGAGATGGTGCCTCTAGATGCTCAGAAAGCCACGAAGCAGCACTAGCTCAGGACCAGCAGCCAGGTCATTGTGCTGTCCCCTGAGCCTTCTGATGGGACAGACCACCACCATGGTGCGTGGGTAGGTGGGTGTTTGCCAGGTGCACGTGGTGGTAGGTGCAGGGTCCAAGGTGTAGGAGGAAGGGATTTGAGCTGTAGGCTCCCCTCTGAGCACAGGCAGTGGAGCTGCACACCCAGGTCTGCAGGCAGGTAATGGAGAGCAGGGCAATGCCTCCTCCTGGGAGACTGTTTTGGCAGCTGTTAATTGGAGGTGGAGATTGGGGTG